AATTACTTAATAAGAAAATCAATACAAATTTTCTTCCAGTATTTTAAACAAATTATTGTATGTCTGCATACAATATTATTTTGGAATTATAAAAATGAACCCAACTGCAAAGAAACTCACACTTTTGGACAGTGTCAGTATTTCATGGCTTTGCTCCCAGCCTAATCAAGTTGCTGCGCTATTCAAGCTGCTTACTCTGATGTGGGGAGCAGGTCTTTATGGTGTCCATGTGTTCCCTTGGAAGGCTGGTGCTGCAAGAATGTGACTGATACAGTCAGCAGCTCTCCAAGTACAGCACACATTGACTACAGTACCTATGGACACCAAACTAACAGGCAAACACACCTTTTGCCTTGCTAAAAGAAAGGCAAATTAACAGCTGTTTTCTAACATGCACAAAATTAAGAGCTCCAAAGTTTTGGTTCTGGGGGCTCTCCCGATGTAGTAAAAAATCTCTGCAGGTATGCACTGACACAGTCACCCTCTCCAATCAGGACTCAAAAGAGAAGACTGAGATCAAAGGCCCCTGAGCCTTTTTACCACCCAAACACGGGTGTTTAAAAGAATAAAAAGCCTGTTTAAGAGCACACTGAAAGTTACAAGTTACTGAAGTTCAGACAAACACGCTATAGTGAATGTTTCTATTTTGATTTTGTCCAATAGTACTAAATGATCATATTATTAATTCAGCACAGTACTCAAAGAAAAAGAACAATCACATGTTTTGCAGAATAGAAGAGCCTGAAAACTCAATTTATGAGATCTCAATTAAACGATCTTTATTTAGGAATCCCTGAAATTCTCTAGCATGTAACTCCCAGAGGCTCGGCTTAATTAGAAAATTGATCATGGGAAAACTTCTTAAAATGTAGTCTCCTAATCACAGCCTTCCTGTTATCACCTTCTGCCAAAGATCTATTGCTCACAGGGAGTTGTTTCTCCTTTCTCCTTTAGCCTGATATTATTTGACTCACAATATTTTAACCTGTAAATAATTACAGAGAGCAGAGGTAACTTAAATGCACTTAACAGAAGCTATTGAGAAAAATATGATCAGAGGCAGAAAACACAGTAAAAGTGAGAGCTGTTGTACAACCACATAGAGATGACACTCGTATCTACAGCTGCTGAAAGATACTAATTATGCCTCTGGCAARGGGCATACAGGCTCCTTCAAAGAAGCTATTTAAAGATAAGAACAGTACAGACAAACACTTCAGAGATATCTGTACTATTGCCCTCCTTCTTGTGTTGAAAATTCTAGGTCACTATTTAATAAAATCTAAAAAAAA